TCGTGGTTTTTGTATTAGACCCGTCGTCCATTTATTTGTAAGTCAATGTATATATACCTTTTATTGTTACAGCCTGACTTTTTATTACCTTTTCTTCTCTATAACGGACTTTAAATAAATTTGTCGATCTGAAGTTTTCTGTTTTACTGCCGTGAACCTGGTTGGTTGTTTGTTAGGTCACCTTGTGAAAGAGTTCTTCCAGGGAAGTACTGCCGCCTTAGCTATTTCTGCCGCTAAGCAGTAATGTGAGCAATTACTGTGTGTTTACTTCAACAAGAATTGCGTGACTCCCAGTTTTATGGCACGACAAGCTATTTTCAAAGTTTAATTAAAATTATGCCGAAAATTAAGTATGTAGGTGAAGCAACTCGAAACTATTCTTTAGCTCGAATTCTAATTTCTCCCGTACTAATGCGGTTTTGCTTAGATCGAGCGGTAGAGACACTGGCTTTATTTAAGACTTTGTTTCTTATAAACGAAATCGAAGCCAATTGAAAAATGTATATCGTATACTATACGTGTCCTATTTAGTTCAGATGAAATAAAAAAAAATATTGGTATTTCTTATTCAATAGGTAACAGCGGTTTTCTTGAAAAATTCATCATAATCATAAAAATTTTCAAGAATCGCATAGTATAGAAATCAGTGTATATCTTCAAGTTTACTATATATTTTTTCCCAAGTGATTGATTCAACTTTTTCAATGTTATGCGGAGTCAACCAAAGCCATTTGGGGTAGTATAGAATCTTAAGGTGTGATCAAAAACCATTGACTTACAATTATATGGACGTCGGGTCCGCGCTAAAAAGTGTCCGAACTTATAGGGCGTTAAAATCGTATACAGAGTGTCATTCACGCTTTAGTCTTCGTTTGTTCGACTGACAGCGAAGCAAGCAAAATTAGACAGTACTGCGATGATATTACAATTTAAATTCAACGTTTTAGCTTTTTCATATTCCTTTACATGTCACTACGTTTAAATAGGTTGACTTGGGACATTGTTTTCGTGGAATGAAATCGAGTAGATAGGTCCGTAGGCGCCTATTGATAGTCAAAACACATAATGTCGAACGACAGTTACGATAAACAACTGTTTTATGGGGAACTGTATACGTTTTTACAACAAGATTCCGGAGCATATATTAAGTTTATCATTTCCTAAGTTTAAAAACTACATTAAAAATATTTTGATCGAAAAATCATATTACAAAATTGAAGACTACGTGTTAGATAAAGATGTATGGAAAGACGACATGGCTCCAGAATCCACACAAATTTGATTCAAAGTGTATTCCATAGCATTTAAGTTTATTTGACAAGAGCAATCCCTAGAGTTTCTTGCTCGTTCTTCTCAGGGAGGTCAGCGTAGTGAACGAGCAGTAGCTTAAATGTGACGTTTTCAAGTGTAAATTTGTTTTACCTATGGAATAAATAATATTTGACTTTGATGTGGTTACAATCGCCACCGATCGAGCAGACCTATATGCTGTAGGCACTTTTATAGGAACTTATCAATTAAACTTTATTGGTCTTATTTTTATTTAAGATTTTATGTTATTTAGGAGAAAACAATCCTTATTATTGAGGCTTTCGATCAGTATAGTAGAAAAACCAATTGTCTTTTTTGACATTTGGCGAGTTCGAATCTCGGCTCAGACAGGCGATTATTGAAAAATCTTTGAATGCAGTTCGAATTGTTTTTAAAAATCAAAATTAAGTCTTCTTTCTGTAAAATTTTCGATCTACCAAAATATAACTGGCATAACTAGCAAAATTCTTTGGATTTTACAGTTAAATTATAAAACATTTTGATTAAACTTTCAGTTTTATTAAAACGCTTTATGAAAACACTAATAAATATCTGATTTCTTGTTTAACAGTTTAATGTTAACTAAAACTGGGTTCTCACGGAGAAAATTCAATTGGTAAGTACTGTTCAATTACGTTTAGTAGCAGTACAGGTCCTTGTGAAAGAGTTTCGTCCAGGAAAGTCCTGCCACCTTACCTATTTTTATTTAAGCAGCAATATGAGCATAATTGCGTTCCGGTTTTGAAGGGTAAGGGTGCTGGTGAAATTACAGGCACATGGGACTTGTCAACTTATGTCTCTAGATCTTTGCGATTAAAAGCTCTGAGGACACTGCAATTGTTATGGACAGGCGTGTAGTTTACCATCAGGCGCACGACTTGTTCGTCCCGCCACTTGATATTATAAAAAAAACCGCGACACTCACTGGTAAACAAAAAGTTTGTATGATGTTACCAAGCGTAGACTTCATTGAATTCAGGTGAAGATATCTTCAAGGCTGGGCTTTAAAAGGGTAAATCCCTTGTCGTAAAATTGCATGTCTATTCGATCTCTTTAGATAGTGGAGATCCTTGTCAATTCCTCCAGGAAAGTTCTATCACCTTATCTGTTTTGGCCGCCAAGCAGTAATGTAGCATTATTGCGTTCCGGTTTGGAAGAAATTACAGGTACATGGGACTTTTCAACTTATGTCTCAAAGTGATGGGCGCAGAGGCAGTGCACCTCAGATCTTTGCGATTTAAAGCTCTGAGTTGCATTGCAACTGTTATGGACAGGTGTGTCGTTTACCATCAGGCGCACGACACGTTCGTGCTGTCACTTGGTATCTAAAAATGAAGATCTCACTATACGCGCTTGCTAAGGAAGTTCCATGTTCAACTCCCGATGGGAATAATTTTTTTCTTAATTTTTACAAGGCCTTTAATACTGTGTTCATGGGGAATCTCAAATTGCGTCGTCAGTTAGGGATATTTTTGGATTTAATGCAAATAGGTTACGTAAGTATATAAATCTTATCGACAATTTTATGTCTTCACATAAAATAAATGGGTTTCCCAGAACAATATTTATGTCTCCATTACGTCCAAACTTCTCAACTGCAAATCATACTATAGCGGTCCTAGTGTGGTCACACCCCACGAACAGATGGATCAGATCTTCTATTCTTTTGCAGTAATCGTAAGTGCTTTGATATCTATCAAGTGTAAGTGATCTATCAAGTGATCAAATTTATTTAGTGGAATGTGACCAGATCTAATTCTAAATGCGGAAACAAAAGATGCCCTAGAGAAACCCGCAACATCAAACCAAGGAGATCGCCGATGCATCGTCCTATACCAAATGCCTCTTGCTAGTGAAATTTCCTCGTAGTCTGTATCCAAAATATTTATACAAATATCTTTAGCTAGAGGAATAAATTAATTAGCAGTCGGTTTGCAAAACATGCTCACACCATCAGATATAGCTTCGTTAGCAAGTTTGTCCGCCTCTTCGTTACCTAATACGCCTACGTGTTATGGAATCCATTGCATAATGATCGATCGATATTTTTATACTCAACTCTAGGATTCATTTGGGAAATGTATTTTTCAAAATTGGTAATCAGAGTCCCGTTCAATGTTCAGGGCGTACCGTTTCATACCGTTGAAATTTTGCTTTTGTGGGGGTTACATTAGTTACATAGCTTCCTATTTAGATAGCTACTCAGTGGTATTTAGATTTAGGTATATAATCTCGACAAACTGCACATTTTTAAGTTCTTTATCATCAATTTGTAGAATTTTGGTTTAAATATAATAGTGCTAGACATGTTTCGAATGAATGCATGGTCCTTAATCATGAGATTCCGCGGCGGTGACTCGACAGAAACTGGAGTTATCCGTTATTTTAGTTATTATTTTTGAGTGTCATTGTCGTTTCCTATTTAAAATATACTAGTGGTTTGAAATATACTGTCCAATATAAAGCATTTTTTATTTGGTTTTTAAATAAAGAGAAGTCCCAAAATTTGTTCATTAATAATAACGCACACACTCAACATACACCTGCACTAGGGAAACCCTGTGTCGCGGATGCCATGGACACACACGTAGACAACCACAAATTACACCCAAACTCACGAAAAAAATAAATATAGGCCATACAAATATCTCTCCCGACCCGGGAAACGAAACTGAGATCTCTGCGTGGCAGTCCGGCGTGGTCACCGTTCGGCCCCGGAGGCAGTTATCATTTCTTGAATGGTACGCAAATTTAAACTTGCAGTGCCACTCAGACCTTCAAATCAAAAGATCCGAGGGATACTTACCTTTCTAAACTGGAACGCAGTAAGGTCACATTACTGCTTGGCGACAGAAATAGGTAAGATGGCAGCACTTCTCTAGACGGTATCTTACACGAGGAGCTCTTTTGCTGTACTAAGACTTTTGTTGTCTTTACTACAAACGTTTTTGCAGGGAAATAAAGATTTGTCATGATATTGATAACTCAGAAACAAAAATCGTGTTACATGATTATCAACCAATCAAACAAGCTTGTTCGTTTTGTTTGCGCTTTCATTGGTTTATTTTAATGTGGTAAAAGTCTGCAACTGCAATGGCCATTAGCCAATTATCATTTCGTTATAGCCGTAATTGCCAAATCACACGAATGCACTAAATCAGTCCCGTACTGCGAGTGTCGAGTGGAGCGATGACGTCAGACATGTTGCGGCTGGTTCTGGTACACCACGTACTGGACTTCAGTGGTCTCTTCCACTAGATGTATTGTGCTGTACACCAAGAACAGCAGGTAGATGTTTAGACCTGGAATCCGTAGTGATTGCGGTGAGTAACATAAATACATGACGTGTGTAGTCAGGAATTGCATCGTCATAGGGTCGAGGATGGCGGACCATACCACACCATAGTTAGAGGCGTGTATTCAAATAAATTCTTCAATTCGAAATATTATTACAGATCAATAGCACAGATACTTATGTTTACTTAAATAAATGATTAATTACATAATAACTCTTAACACCATTGACTTACAAATAAATGGACGACGGGTCTAATACAAAAACCACGAAAAAAATGTCCCAAGTCAACCTATTTAAACGTAGTGACATGTAAAGGAATATGAAAAAGCTTTTAAATTGTAATGTCATCGCAGTACTGTCTAATTTTGCTTGCTTCGCTGTCAGTCGAACAAACGAAGACTAAAGCGTGAATGACGCTCTGTATACGATTTTAACGCCCTATAAGTTCGGACACTTTTTAGCGCGGACCCGACGTCCATATAATTGTAAGTCAATGCTTAACACAGATAGAAATGGATTAAAAATGTGAAACACGATGAGTATTGCTTGATGCTTCACCAGACTAGTCGATAGGTGGCGTTGTAACTAACTGATAGGCGTAGGTTCCACAATCATCCGCCAGATGGCGCTGAAGCAACGACCAATGATGCGACATACATTATAATAAATAGACAAGTAAATAATAAATAAAGACAATATCACATACGTTGCTCTGATCCCAAAGTAAGTAACTAAAGCTAGTGTCGACCGGGATCGAACCCGAGAGATATATAGATAAGACTATAGTTTAAAAACCGAAATGATTTTGACATGTTTGTTTAGCAAATTTATTCTTTATTTAAAAAATAAACATTACTATTTTATATCGTTACATACATTGCCGGTATGTGTATTATTTCTCTTTATTTTTCTTTTCTATACCAAATTAACAACCTTAATTTGGTATAGTTATTTTTTTAGGGATAAACTAAATGATCATCTTGAAACCTCCATGGGTTCACACAACTCGTCGAAGATGCATAAACTCCACTATCCATATAGCTATTGTGCCGGATTTAACTTAACCCGTTCAAGGACAGTAACGGCGTTTACCGTAAAATTGGATATCAGAATATGGATTTACGGGTTTAGCTATGTGGATGTCGAAAAACCAACTACAAGTGCAATTTCCAAGTTTTCCGTAGAGAAGTATCAGCAACGTATTGACAAAATTCAATTGTAGTAATAATAAAGCACATACTCATAGCCTACTAATAGGGAAACCCTGTATCACGGGTGCCATGGACACACACATAGACAACCACAAATTACACCCAAACTCACGAGATAAATAAATGTAGGCCGTATAAATATTTCTCCCGGCTCGGGAATCAAACCTGCGTAGCAGTGAAAGGCAAAGTTTATTTATTCCTTTCATGTTTTACCTACTAACTTATGTCTCAGGCTGACGGGCGTAGTGGCAGTGCCCCTCAGATCTTTGCGATTTAAAGCTCTGGGTAGTACTGCAAGTGTTATGGACAAGCGTATAGCATACGATTTGTTCGTACTATCACTCGATATTATTTTAAAAAAAGTAGTGTCATCTTATTTATGTAAGTACTGAACCATGAACGTTCTAAACCGTTTCTTAAAAGGAGATCCGTGCCCGGCAGCGAGACGTATACGGATTGACGATGATGAAAACAAATGATTTAGTAGGTGTAATACCAAATTTTGAAGTTCATTGCAAATTGTTAAGTGTTTGAAAAGCATAAGTTTCAATTACATTGCGACGTGGATTACTTACTGAGAAATAAGAAGTAGACGGTATTCTCGACGTACTCGCGATAATCAAAATACGCCAAGTCGAAGATCAGCGTGAGCAGCTGGAACACCACGCCGAAGTACAGGTAAACCTGCAGTAATACTCGTTTCTTCTGGAATCGACAACAAATTGCCTTTGTTAATAAAACAGATATTCTACAATATTAGAGACTTCATTTGTACATTGTACATTGTTTATGTTCTTATTAATTTATGACATTTTGTTTATTTTAGTACTGTGACTGATATTATTTGTTGGACGGCATGAATACAATATACAAATTATTGCATGAGTGTGTTTACAGAAAAAAAAAACTTTGTATGCTTAGGCGGATCACAGTGATTCTATACATGAACTTTTTAACAAAGAAATAAATGAATTGAATTGAATTGGACAGACGTAGTGTTCCTGGTCGTAAGTGACACGCCGGTCAATATAGCAGTTGTAATGCCACTCAGAGCTTTAAATCGCAGAAATCTGAGGGGTACTGACACTGCACCCGTCACCCTGAGACATGATTTGACAAGTCTCACGTGCCTGTAGTGTCGCTAGTACCCTTCAAATCGAAACGCAGTAATGCTCGCGTTACTGCTTGGCGGTACAAATAGGTAAACTCTTTCACAAGGAGTTCTGCTGCTACGGCTACCCTAAATGGTGTAAATCCTCAGTTATCCAATTATTTATTATCCAACTACGAAACTCTACACGGAATGTAGAGTTTTGACTGTTCATACTATTTTTATGGGATCAATCATTGACTTACAAATAAATGGACGACGGGTCTAATACAAAAACCACGAAAAAAATGTCCCAAGTCAACTTATTTAAACGTAGTGACATGTAAAGGAATATGAAAAAGCTAAAACGTTGAATTTAAATTGTAATGTCATCGCAGTACTGTCTAATTTTGCTTGCTTCGCTGTCAGAACAAACAAACGAAGACTAAAGCGTGAATGACGCTCTGTATACGATTTTAACGCCCTATAAGTTCGGACACTTTTTAGCGCGGACCCGACGTCCATATAATTGTAAGTCAATGGGGTCAATGGTCATTTTAACTTGTCTACCGAGTGAAGGATCGTTACCTCTTATAACAAGTCTAATAATCATTAGTGCACCCTTTTAAAGAAATAAATTATTATTCAGTATACCAATATTAAGTCTTTGTCGAACACAACGGGAGATACGCGTGATAATGAGTATGTGTATTCGGGGTTGTTTGTGAAATATTAAAATCTCATACAACAACATTTACTCCATGAGTTTTGAATTTACCAAAAATAAACTTTTAGTTTTTCTTGTACTACCTGCCACTTTTTGAGCAGTGATCTCTGTAAGTGCTTAATTATTACATTCTTAACTTTAAATAGAGAAATAATCCTTTGACAAATTATTTTCTAGCACGTAATTTTATGATCAAGTCTCCTTTGTGAAAATTGCTCTTGTTATGCAAAAAACTAGAACGTCGGATTTGCTAATATTTGTTATCCAGGCGCTTGAAAACCTAATGGTCTGGCCAAAAATCCGCGCGGTTCTTGCCTAACTATTAACAAAAAAAGATTCTTTTTCTTTTTTACAATGTTACTTTAGCAATGGTCATTTTAAAAACAGTACTTTGACGCGCATCTTAAGAATAGGTGGGATAGTTTTAAATTTATAATTCATAAAAAACTTTCAGAACTGATGAATCGTAAAGGTGTCCTATTTCACCATGACATTATGTTCTTTACATTGTGATGTATTGCCAAGCCACAAACAAAGCCGTCATATACTATTGCAGTTAGGTTGGGATCACTTCATTCTCTGTATTCGTCCAACAGAGCCCCTTCAGCTCTACTACTACTAAATTTCTTTCATCTTTAATGTTTTGGGTGGACACAATTTTGATAACGAAGAGACAATCAAACGATATTTAAAACAGTATTTTATAAATAAAGACAGGAATTTTTATGAAATGAGAAATCTAGAATTAATTAAATGTTGGCAGAATATTGTAGATATGCCTGGGCAATACACACTCGTATAACTAGATTTTTACATTTCCTATTTTTTACATTCACATCACACGGATTTTTTTTGGTCAATCTAATAACACTCTACAGGGTGAATACAAGTATAATTTTTGCTAGTAACATTATAAATATTGTTTTTTAATATGATCGAGCTAAACAGTTTAGTTGGGTTACCACCTGGTGAGCGCCAATGAGCAGCACGATGGTCATGGAAACGTCGATGACGACAAAAGCAATGGTCAGCGGCAGATGCACCAGCGGGTCTATGTGGGTGTCATCCACCGCCGTGCCTGTCGCCATGTGCTCCACTAGAAGAAACACCAGCAGGGGAAATGACAGGAGCGACAGCACCTGGGACATTTACAAAAAAAGAAATACAGAGAGAGAAGTTAATAGAGATCAAAAAAGAAAATATATTTATTTGGTCTACATTACATTGACGATAATTACTTTACAACTACAAAAATAAGGAACCAAAAAGGTCACCACTCAGCATGTGCCAGTTTGCTCACGAAGAAACAGACCGGCGCTGATATTCTATGGCCACCACAACAGAAAGGACACCACTACAACGAACATACACTTTAACAACAGGAACATATACATACATCAACTTAACATAATATAAAATATATAGGTTTTTAAACATCACAATAAACAAACAATCATTACACAATGACAACTCTTACCACATATAAAAAATAAAAAATATATACACTATAAAATAATATAACATAACATATGCTGGCCTAAATAAACTACACAAAAAAATGAAATAAAATGAAAATTAAAAACAATAATAAAACAAATCAAGAAAAACACTTCACTTAAAAAATACCCCACTCGTCGTACCTCTTTTGATTATCCATTAAATACAATTTAAAATTTCTCTTGAACGTGGCAATCGTGGCAAATTAACATTCTTACAATAGCCGTGTTAGCGAATATTGTTAACAAATGACAATGAAATCATATGTTATAATTATTAATACAAAGATCGAACACTCAGAAAAAACACTCAGAAAAAATTCCTTCGATCCGGTCGAATTCGAACCGACGTCGTCTTGCATACCGTGCCAGACGCTATACCAACTAAGCCACGGAACGAACCAACGGACCTCACGAATTCTTCTATGTGCTTGCATCGTGTCTTTGTACTTGGTCTTTCAACGACTAACGATCTATGAGAAATCTATTGCAGATTTATCACCCAGTTAGTACCTTTACAACTACCAGTCCTGGCGAGAGATGTCGCTATTCACTGTATTAATTAAATTTTTAGTGAATTGATATTCAATTATTTTTTGTGAAATTACTCCACTAGTTTGTTATAATTATTAATACAAAGATGGAACACTCAGAAAAAACACTCAGAAAAAATTCCTTCGATCCGGTCGGATTCGAACCGACGTCTTCTTGCATATTTTTTAAGTCTATACGCTTTACTCTACTACTACTACTCTTGATCAATTAATATATCCAAAAATGCACGAGCCCGCTGACCTGATGACTGAGGGATAGGTGGACAAGTTGACAATCAAACCTTATTAGAAGATATGGAACTGTGTCCCAGTTTGTGACTTTTACAAGTAAAGTTCGGGATATTCTTGCTATTAGACAAAAAAAAAATATACTTGACGCGGTCTAGTTCAGGATAAACGTAGGAAGGGTACGTCTATCAGAGATTTAGTACACATCTGTCAGATCATTTCTTTATACCGTATAGGTCAGAAATTTGTGGCTGGTAACAAGCAGTAATTATCGTGATTCCTTGTACATCAGATTTAGCTTTCGTCAGAAATAGTTTTTTTATGAACACTCGTCAAATTTCGCTTTTGTCATAAGTTGTCTGTTCTTTTTATGTGAGAGTCAGAATGGCGGGTGTATCTTAACGATTATGAAAGGTATATATACTAAGGAGATAAATTTCTGACCTATGCGGAAAAAAGAAATGATCTGACGGAAGAGGAATCCGACGATCCTTCAGATCCAAATGGTCTATACCAGTTTTTCGCAAATACTTCTTCAGCTTCCTTGTACTTTATTTGTAAAAAACAAACTAAGTACTAAACTGTTCTTTAATGCGTTATCAATGTCTATCTGTAAAAAAATATCACCGACTGGATCAAGACCCAAAATTATGACGGTACAGAGAAATTACTTTCAATCCCAAAATGACCCCGCATTCCCCTAAACTGACATCAACTCATAGGATTATCGTCTAATCCTTTTCACACACTTATTTTATTTATTTATTTTACATACATAGGCTAGCAACTATCATTACAGAACTAATCTAATGCAATAATGTAGCCAAAATTATCACTTGTTCAACATTATTAACTATATTAATATTACATTACAAACTGTCATTATATTCCATAACACAATACAAATAAAGCTATTTCATAGGACTTACACAGAGAACACGCAAATAGGTCAATTTGCCCATCAATAACGTTTAAAGTCCTCATCACTCGTGTCATGATGCCTTGTTCAGCAGGTCGGTTTTCCCATGAGGAATCGCCCACAGTTGTGGCCGGCGCCGGCGCTCCACAAACCCGTCGAAAACACAAAGGCCCACACGACTCAAAACCTCCGCATTTGTTATTTGAATACATACAAAACCAATGCTAATTCCCGCCGTACCCCTACTTCGTTGTACCCCACCATACCCAGAATAAATAGGTTAGAATACATCAAAGGATAAAAACGATATATCCCGTATAGCCTTAAATATAAATATCTTGTAAATTTCTTTTGTAAGCATTCCAATATTACGTATTTAATTTCACCAGGAATCCAAATAAGTGTATTTTCATTCGAGATGGCTTCTAACCAAGGTATTGTATAAGGTCTCTATTGCCTTTATATTTGTAAACCCATTATTCTTTTTTATAAATACTAATTATATGATCCTGGAACTTCAACGTCCTATACTTATATATACCTTACACCCAGTACACACCATATTAACTACACGACCACTAAATCACATATACCCTCTAGATACCAATTCATCCTCACTCACCATACAACGTTAGTAAATTATTAGTTTTGGAGGTCAAATAAACTAATGTTAATAGATATATCTTTATAATTTTTAACTTTCTTTAGTAACATAACCATTAGGCTATAACTTTATTATTCATCTACTGAGTGAAAGCCTGTATAATATAGGTTTTTCTTAAACTTATACCGGTCGCTAGTCTCACAAAAAACAAGCGTGTTACATTTTGTTATTATCTATCTCTAATTCATATTAATTTTAAGCTTATTTGTCAAGAGAAAATAAATCAATATTTCATTTCATTTCCAGCATTGGATATGAGTTGTAAAGTATAGTAATAATACTTACCAAATTAACATATCCGAAAATGGTAACACCTCTTCTGATCGGCACGCAGAAGCAGCACTTTCGCGCGGCCGGCATTTGAGGACACTTGCCCATTTTACACATTCCTCCTGCTTTACATAACTTCGGCACTTCCATATCTATATATTTGTGCTTTTGAGGAATTACTTTACAAAAATTTTGATTCACTTTTTATTTAAACGTAATTTAATTTCGTTTGGAATAAAAATAGCACTTACGTACATCGTGAGTGTCCTCACATAGTTACACTACGATGTAAGTATTTACATAATCGAAGCTGTACAATTAAATTACAGCTGTCCAATTAACAAATATAAAGATTCGACGCGCTTCTTTAAAATCCTATGTCGCACTGAGACGACACTAAGATTGTATCCTACCCAGACATCCTTGCCACAAAGTGGCTACTTCCTGGCTTATATCAGATTTTACATCATCTATTGTCTCCACTTCGTTCTACATTACTGATTTTTTAACCCGTTCGTATATAACGTTCCAAGAGACTTAGCAATGGATGAGTGGTCAGAATTTTATATCGTTCGATAGTGATTTAATGTTTCGCTATTATGATACTCAATAAAGTAACCACAATTTTGCCTCGTAGGTGATTTTTTCTTTTGTTCGTTGAAAAATTACATACATGTCATAAAACAGTGTTTCTTTCTGAATTTGCTTTGAATGCGCTCCAGCATAGGACTATACCACGTTTGATATGGAGCCCAGACTACCGTAACTTTATTTATCTTATTATTATTATTATTTATCTCACTAACCGCGTGTCATGATTGAAATGAAATTATTACGTGAAAATTCCAATATGGCGGCCTTGTTATTCCGTCGAACTAAGTAAAAATTTTTCTCAAAAATATATACCACGCGTGGAATTAGAGTACCGCAAAGAACTATATATTAATGAAATTGTTTTGCTTTTCGTTCAAAAATATTTATTAGACATAGCCTCTTGTTATACATAAAGACCATATTTTCATTCACTGGAGCTGGAGAACTTGAGTCTTCTGTAATGAAATGCTTTAAACGTAGTGCCAAAAAATAAATTGCAAACTTTAACGGAGTCTATAATTACGTTTATCGAATATGTACAGAGGCCGCCGACACTTACTCATTTAGGTACTTTGTCACATCAGAACTAATGTGGGCCAAAATTAAAGTGAAACTACTTCGTATGCTCACTTAATTTTTAAGAAAATAAGGGCATGCAGAGGTATTGTACGCATCGCTTTACGCACAGAGTCGGATGTCACCAGCATGAGTTAGCATTGCAAAATTGGCAGGATGATTGACGGATCTGGAAACTTTTTAATTGAGTGAAAGGGTAGAGAGGGTCGATGTCAACGGGACGAGATCATCAGGGTCTACAGCAGCATGTAGTGTACCTCAAGGTTCAATTTTAGGTTCATTTATATTTTAAGTTTATATTAATGATAAGGGCATAATATTGCTGAGCTTGCATGACCGCTTATGCACCGCATTATCAGTCGTCAGTTTTTTTATTACGATCAATGATCGGAAAAAACCAAATCAATGGTTGCACGCACTCGTACGTACTCAGGTACTCGTGAGTACTCACAGGCTCTCACAGGCACTCGCGGGCACACGCATTCGGAGTGTGTAATGGTATTTATAATGATTATTCTGACTTTAATTATATCTAAAATACCTGTAAATTATATCTAAAATTCGAAATCTAATAAAAAGTTTTTTAACGAATGAAATTCCGCTCTTTATTTTATTTAGATGAAGATAAATAGCTGTACGTGGCATAATTCACGACCATCATAATAATAATAAGGTACGTTCGGAATAAATAAATTTAAACAGTTCAAACATCAACGTGTTGTCCTTAGCGAATGGCTCGCTGACAGCCTTGTTGCCGTTCCGTCAATGTGACCGTCAATATGCGGGGCGCGGTGCGGTATCTAAAGCTAGGGAGGGGCGGAGAGTGACCATTCTCGTTACTTTTTTATTTTCTACTTTGGTCAAAGGTCAGTTATCTACTACATTTTTTACATGGCACCATTAGAATTACTTTAAAATTTCGACTTCTTAGGTCAGTAGCTTTGCCCTACGATGCAGTAAAACCTTTATTTAATTACCTACCACCTAAATAATGCCTATTCATTCTCGCCTTGAAAAAGCCCAAGTTATAACGTTCAGGGAACAAGTCTGCAGGCAGGGAATTCCACTCTATAGCCGTTCGCCATATAAATGTGGAAGCGTGGCGCTTCGCGCGAGTCTTTGGAATGTCCACAACATGGATGGAACCCAAGCCTGCACCTAGTTCCATGGTGATGAAAAGGGGAAGGCGGAATTAAAGCGTGTAATTCCATAGCACACTCTCCGTGATATATTCTGTAAAATATCGATAAGCAGGCAACTTTAATATATAATACGTCACCAATAAGCCTCTTGCCACGATTGGTAATTGAATCCAAAGTGGCCTGTTGATATGAGCAAAGCCATCCCATAGGTGGCAGCAGTACTCCATGCACGACCGGATTTGTGCTTGGTACAGCTGAAGCAACTGTCCTGGTGTAAAGTAACGCCTCACCCTGGAAAGGATCCCAAGCTTCCTTGCTGCATTTTTGGCCATGGATTCAATCTATCTGCCGAAGTTCAAATTGGACGACAGGTCCATTCCAATTAGCTGGAGACAATCGGCTAGAAAGAAGAGACTAGCGGCTGGAAAGAATGCCAACCTTTTTTTTCTGCATTTTGATGCATGTTTACATCTGGAACATCTTTTTCCGATTATTGATTATGATTCATTACCAATGATCGAAATAGGGAGAGTCTTTTTACCTAAACTTCGAGGATCAGAGACAGAAAGTGGAGACTACCTGATGACAACTTTTTATTGTCCCGGATATTTGTAGGTAAATAGAGTCTACATATCCCAAATAACGTTAATTTTTATGTACTTAAGTGACTTCCCGAATCCCGAAAAGATCCGGGACAAAAAAATGTTGTCATCAGGTAGTCTCCACTTTCTGACTATCAAATCTCAGAAAAATCACTGTCCTCTAAGAACGAATATGCTGAATCTGGTATTATATAAATTTATGTTAATTATTAGCCAATTCCGTTTGCTATCGACCGATCGGTATGTTTGTTAGCCGTCTAGTAGATGTTTATGACCGGAAGGCAACACGTAAAAATGTGATTTGTTGCTAACGTATTTTTGTATTGCGGGTGGTGCCGGAACGCGACAGCGTGTCATTTCAGAAAATGTAGACTGAACCTCAAAGTGGTATCCTCGCTTGTGTCGTGGACTCAATTCGGCCTTAAGCCCATAAAGAACAAATTTTTAAATTTTTTATTGAATGCCAGAATGTTTCAACACCCTGACATTCAATTTGTTTTTGTAATATTAAATTAAAATTGTCATAAACCATCGAAGAGTACCAAACAGAAATAAACGAATTCGCCATTGAGATATATTTATTCATTTTAATCATCTCTACGTTGCCTAATACATATTGGAATAAACTTCGCTACGAACATGACGTATTACGCTACACACACATATATATTATTATGAGTAAATAGAGACTGTCTACCTGATATAGTAAATATGTTGTCGCCGAGACATAGATTTTAGGCGGATAACACAAGCAAAAACCGGCAGCTGCTAGGTGTTAATTTTCAACGAGTTTGTGTGAATACGCACGTTACGCAGTTTTAATTTTTTAAAGTTTTTGTAGCAGCGGTAACCGCGCACATGTGTTATCCACCTTGAGTCTTATCATATAATAATATTACGTCCCCTTCGAGACGATCGAGCGGAACTCACAATGATGATTAACTTCGATATGGCATTTCATTATTTTTATGTTATTAATACGCACGGTGGTTTGCTCTAATGCTGAATGTAAACGCCGGAGACGATCCTCATAAATCTTTGACGTGGGAAGTTTCCCTTTCCTTAGCGGAGGCCCGTGTCCAAAGGTAGTTTAAGAATTAAAACGACCTGGTGGAAATAGGGCACTGCATTCTATAGATATTTGCGATATCATGACAGTTTCACCGCGTCAAAATATAGATAAAGTGCACATTTGACCTCTATCTCAGTTGATGGAAAATGACGATGAGGCCAACGGTAAAGCAATTAGAGCATGCACACATATACGTATAATGCCTGTTCACTTTTGCCTTACAAAGGCCCAAGCAATAGCGTTCAGGGGACGAGTCGGCAGGCAGGGAATTCCACTTCAATACCGTCCATATAAACGTGGAAGCGTAACACCTCGTGCGAATCGTGGGTATATCCACAACATAGAGGTGGAACTCCTGCCTGCATCTAGTACCTCGATGATAGAAAGGATATGGCGGAATGGTTTCATGTAAATTCGTCGCACACTGCGTGATATAACATCCTGTAGAATATTGATAAGCAAACAATTTTCCGGTAGTGTTCAAGGCCCTGCAGCTTCGCCTCTCCAATCCGAGTCACCGATAAGCTTCATGGCTCGTCTCTCAGTGGAATCCAAGGTGGTCAGTAGGTATTTAGGAGTTCCATCCCATAGGTGGCATCAATACTCCTTATATATTCGAATTTATTGTAGTACAGTTGCTACAATGTTCCTGGTGTGAAGAAACGCCTTACAAATTGTGCATTCGATTGCGCCTGTTTACAAACTGGAACACAGTAATGCCACTGTGCGGTAAGAAATACATAAGGCTGTGGTACATACCCGTCTCGTCAGATTAAATGTAAAAGACAAATTGCAAGTTGTGCCCATTCGTGTCGTAGGGAACAGAAGTAGGGAAAAGGAACTATGGGGGGAATGCTAAACATTAATATCTCTACTGCCATTTCGGAAAATGCGGTCCATAAAGAAGAAATGGCAAGAAACTTCATGGCCATCGCATAATAAAATCTTATTTCCAAGAATACATTGATATTGTTGTAACTTCCTGAATGTTTGAAGTTACAGTACTTCTCTCGATTACATATTTAAACCATGGACGTCGACAGGGTGGCTTCGACTTACTCTGTCAAGAAATATAGGGAAGTCAATTACCAATAAAAACAAGTCTTGGTACGTCCATGTAACATTGAATAAATTATCTAATTGAATGGTAAAACGTAATTCTTTAAAAATATCCAAACATAAGGTTGGCAGATGCTAACGCAAAAGAATAAATTTAGCCATAAAAAGTTGCCCAAACTGCAGGGCATGACTCTCTAGAGCTGACTAGATGAGTTAGGAATATTATTTTTAGTTGTAAATTTGTATAAAAATAAATGGCTAAAATTTTCGCGCACATGATTCTAAGATGTCTATAAAAATATTCAACATGTAAATAATAAATATAATTGACAATAGCACATTTTTTCAACATTCTCTTTATAAAATTTCACCTTTTAGACACATGTTTTGTCAGCATATTCACTTATGTTTTGTATTTTATTAACCAGCAGTTGTTGAGAAAAAAAATTAAGATTAAAATTAAGTTTCGAAAGGCCCGCTCAGGAAGTTGACGTCTGTTTGACGTACTTCCTGAATAATTCATATATTTTTTTCCATCTTAGGATAAAAACCGATATTACGACGGATGTATTAATTAGTGTCAAACTTTTTTTAAGTTAATGGCACTGGGTGCGTGCTAGTTAGAGATTTTTGCTCATTATTCTAAGTTATTGTTAAATATTTTTTAAATATAAATATATCTCTCGTATCTACTTTTCCATAAACAATATTCTCCAATATAATTTATGGGGTAGTTATAATGTATATTGTACATAATAATAACGGGAAACACACAAATTCAAGTAAATTTAAAATCAGTTTTTCTCGTTACTAGTGGTGACCGCAGACCGAGGAGTGGCGCTTTTTCGAAATTATTTAGTAAAAAAAAAATAATTTAATTACAGATGTGATTTGATGTACCTGGATTTTATTTCAGTTTTAAATGAATTATGTGAAAAATAGTTGCTATTGTCAATTACATATTTGCTCATTCTTTTTCAAAATAAGGTGGAATAGGATGAACTTGGAAGGAGAATGACAGAATGACATTTTCTTTAATGTTACTGACCCAACAGGTCGATTTCAAACTAATAATACGTTCAGGATTTATAAAAGAATTGACTTAGTTTAAGAAGTACCCTTTCGTCCATAATGTCATCATATGTGCACGTCTACTCAATCCTGATTGCAACTGGAACAATTTTTATTTTCTCGCCGCTGCTTTTGATTGGATACGAATTTATTATTTTGTGTTCTTTCCTTGATATGGTGTATAACAGCATTGCTTGGTAGCTGATGATCTGTAGCACTGCAAAACAGAAAATGGGGCATTGTTTTAGTAGGACAGAATGTAGATTACTTCAAAGGTGACTTAACCCGTGAGAGGCAAGAGTTTTAGCGAGGTATTCACCGCGAGCCTAGATTTTAGATTTTAGGAGGTGAGATGTGTCACCTCTCGCGTCCCACAATCCGTGCGCTGTAAATTAATATGAATAAACTAAGAACAGGCGGAGAAAATTTGACACAGGATCCCGATTCGGTATCCTTCGATATTTTAACCGAATCGTTCGATTGGACATTCAGAACATTCGAGTTAAACGTTCGGCTCGGATTCGGATACGATATCGTTATCCAGCAGCGTTTTTTTTAATTACAGTTTCCATAAAATATTTGTATCTTAATAACTCGAAAACTACTTTGTCTATTCTAATGTAATTAATGTAGTTAAGCTTAAAGTTGTTCATATTTCAATGTTATTGTAATGTTAAGCGAGAAAAAACAATGTCTATGGTAACTAGGCTGAGCACTTTTTTTTATAAAACTCCACTGACCCTTGCATTGGTCAAGTACATATCTACAACTGTGCTGTCATCAGCATACGCAAAGGTATCTGGAATTAACGTATCATTGATATGCAGAAGAAAGAGAGTTGCAGATAGTACGGAACTCTGAGGAACTCCGGGAAAATCTATCGCCATATTATTCTTCCGAACGGAAGAGTAGCTTTCCAATACCACTCGAATCGAACGTTCGCTCAAGAAATTCGAGATCCAATTGCAAAGGTCATTGGGAAGCCCTTAAGAGGGAAGCTTACTTAAAAGGCTTGCGTGCCAGATTCTGTCAAATGCTTTAGAAATGTCCAAAGACACTGCAAGTGATTCGCCTTGCTTTTCTATAGCCTCGCTCCATGTGACAGGCATACACAAGAAGATCCCCAGTAGATCGCCCTCGTCGGAATCCGTACTGGCTATCACTGAGGAGGTTGTCGTCTTGAAGGTACGATAGGAGACGGTTGTTAAGTACACGTTCCATAGTCTAGCAGAGTACAATCGAAAACATTTGGACACCGAAATGGCTACGATAATTAGGCTGAGAATACCGCATGTAAGAATGACCGATGTACACTCTATTGCGACCATTGTATACTAACTAAAGTTGTAAACGGAGATAAAATGTTTTTTATGGATACTATTCGGTCAGAAGGCATGGCTCGTAATGTGGGCTGACTGGTGATGATATTTTAAATCTCCCTCTTAGTGGAGGAATATTTATTACGTCGGAATAAAATGGATTTTATCGTATTTGTCCCCGTTTACAATTTTAATGGTTTTTTCGTTATTAAAGTCCCGTTCATGCAATGAATTTGTAAAGACCGAAGCAACTGAAAACCTACAGGGACTACGTTGGATGTGCGTACGCACGTTAGAATAATATGGATAAAGTGAGTAGGAGTACAGCTCCTAGTGAAAGAGTTCGTCCAGGGAAGTACTGCCACCTGACGCTGGTCAAATTACAGGCACATGGGACTCATCAGCTTATGTCTCAGAGTAACGGGCGCAGTGCAGTGCCCCTCAGATCTTTGCGATTTAAAGCTCTGAGTGGCACTGCAACTGTTATGGATAGGTGTGTAGCTTACCACACACAACTTGTTCGCATAACTTGTCAGGCGCACAACTTGTTCGCACCATCACTTGATATTGAGAAAAAAAAAGTGTACCCAACCTAACTGCAATAGCATTATCATCATGAAATACATGAAACTTTCCCGCCTTTTCTTAAAATACGCGCTAATATTATTTCTAGAATGATCATAGATAATATAACGTTCTTAGGAAAAAAGTTCATTTTTTGCTTAAAGTTAGCTAGTGGTAGAAACCGCACACGCTTTTTGGCCAACTCGTTATTTTCCCTAAATGGCAAGCTTAGTCATCCATTAAAAGAATGGATAACGCAAGTAATAAAGATTTTATTATTTTACTAACGTATTTGGACAAACAAAAGGTGGACAAAGAGGCTGTAGTACGGTCAGGTTTGTATGTACGGTCAGGGAATATAATAATGTTATTATTACTGCAAAAGTGGAAAAAGTAACGAGAGGTCTTCGCCTAGCTTTGCAGGTTTGTAGGAAACTTACAAACGCATGTCAAAGTCCAAGGGACGTCAACGGTATTGAAGAGTACATCTTCGTGTCCCATTATCACCGACCACTTGTGCCCAACAGTGTTGTTGATAAGTTTTATTATTTTTATAACGATTATCTCCAATTCGAGCGGCATATATCTGTCTATTATGCACATGCGTGGCTGAAACAAAAAAAGATTGTTTTTCTCAGGAGATACTATATATAATGTATTGTGTGTGAGCACTACTCAACTACACACCGTTTCACAGCTTCGCTGCTTGTTCTCGCACCGTCGACCTACCTCACACAGCTATATCACCACCGTTTCATAGCGCAGCTACACATCCCCGTATCGCCTAGCTATCTCGCTGAAGTTTCTAGTGCATGTGCAGTGTTAACAGTGAAGTGCGCAAAAGATTCTCATAGAATAAGAGTGTATCTAATCGTACTATCACACTTAATATTAAGTTTATTGACGAAACAAGCAAGAAAACTATAGCCGTCTCTTTTTCTCGTTAATGTAATTTGGTGTAATTTGGAATATAAGAATGTATATTAAACGACCAATCAGAGTAAAGAAACATCACGTGATCGAAAGTTCAAGAATACTTAGAAAGAGATGGCAACATTTAGAAATCGAGAATTTTAATCGATATTAAGGTTTTTCGTCAATAACTTTATAAAGAACAGATGTATTGAGATAGAAATTACCGAAAGTACCTAAAGAACTACAGTATTTGTTCAGTGAAATTGTCAAAGACTTAACAATAATCTCTGAAAAGTGTCAATTTGCGAATTTTTGTATATTTGTAACAGCTAATTAAGAATTGTACTCTTATGAACAGATTATAAGAGTTATAGTTATTAAAGTTATTGTGTGTTGAAGATCACCAAGAGTTACAATTAGCCATAACTTTGAGTTCAGAAGGTGTAAAAGTACGAAAGTTATGGACGTATATCCTTATATCCTTTTGAAGTAATTTTTGAGGGATTGACCTTGGTAGATAAGATTTGGATTGATAGATATATATACTCACACTCATATATATATATATATATAACTGAGATAGGTAAATAAGGTTTGGTATAAAAATAATCCAAACAAAGCATCCTTACTCAGCATCGGGAAGTGACTAAAAGTAAACAGAAGAAGAAGTAAATCAGTGAATTATAAAATTGTTATGATTTTAGTGAATTACTATGGAGAAGTTTGTAAACTAACGCCATTTTAAAATAGGAAAACCTTGAATTATTGTTTTGTAAAGTTCATTTTCTGTAAAATATGATTGTACTGCAACTGTGTAAATGTGTTCGAGAATATAGTAACATATTTCTGGTTATCGAGTTTTAATAGTACCACCGGGACGCTAGAGGCTGGATTCGGTAGCGTTCCGTGTGTCATATACACGCGAGTACGGGCGAACGGCCCTGCGTGCAGGCACGGTGTAGTGAAAGCGGCTAGGGTGTGTGCACGTGGCAGTCATAAGATATTGTCGCTCCATCCACTGTCGTGCACAACTCTGGTGGAACCGTAGCCTAAACGAAGGTTGACGACGAACATGGCAATCTGAATTTTGGGCCTAACTGTAACATCGAGTTCGGTTAAGGAATTATACTGAGTAGATGTCATGTGTCCCGAGAGGAACGTGCTTGAATTTGTACAAGATTTTAAATAAATCGAAGTATTTACTACCACAACAATAACGAAGAATAAAATTCATTGGACTGGAGAAGAGAGCAAAACGTAGAGCGAGGCGGAAAGCCCGGGGCAGAACAGTAACAGAATGCTATTACTATTTGATACTGAATGTGTAACTGAAATGTTGTAGAAAGAAAAAAGATGCACATAAATAAAGCGTTCTGTTATATCATTATGGCTTACCTTATAAACAATCGCGGAAAGTGTGAACCCCAAGATGATATCGAACGGCAGGGCGTAGTAGGTACAAATCATGTCGATCAGTTGAAACACGTATGAAGTATAGCCGTCCGTAATCTTTGGCTTCGGAATATGGCTGATCGACTCCAAGATCCATATTTCGAAGCCATTACTTATCTACAGATAGAAATAGTATACATTATTACAGGGAAGTCAGGAACAGTCCAAAGAGTATGAGATACAACTGGTATGAAACGACTAATGACAAATCTCTATTTCCGCCGAGGTATATACGTACAGTGCTTATTTCAAATAATGCGAAGAAATTATTAAAGACTAAAGAAAGAAGGAAAGATGTAGTAATGAAAAAGTCATAAACGTGATTCGTGTAATTCGTGAGGTCCGCTGGTTCGTTCGGTTGCTTAGTTGGTATAGCGTCTGGCACGGTTTGCTAGAAGACGTCGGAATCCGGCCGGATCGAACAAATTTTTTCTAAGTGTTTTTGTATTAATAATTATAACAAAACAGTGGAGTAATTTTGTGAAAAATAATTGAATATCAATTCAATACAAATTTAAATACAGTTAATAGTGACGTCTCTAGTCAGGGCTGGTAGCTGTAAAGTTATCTAACTGGGTGTCTAAATACTTTCATAGATTTCTCATAGATGGCGCTACGGCTAAAAGTCGTTGAAAAACCAAATACAAAGATCCAACAATAAAGACAGAAAAATTCGTGAGTGCACTGGTTCGTCCCGTGGCTTAGTTGGCATAGCGCCTTGGACGGTTTGCGATCGAAGGAAGTATTCGATCTTTGTATTAATAAATTATAACAAAATAATGGATTCATTTCACAAAAAAAATTGAATGTCAATTCAATGCCAATTTAAGTATTAGACGATTAATTTGAAAAGAATATTTTGGCAAGGACAACAATGTTGCATTACTGTTGTCTAGGCACATTGATGGTAGCCAATATACAGAAAAAAAAAAAAAATATTACCGAAGTTTTTTTTTTGGCGTTTACTTTTTCAAAGAACTTACGAACACATTGCCATAGACAATTGTTTTACTTTTAATTCTCGCTATCACGATCAAGTTATATGACAGTTTTTCTTGTTACAT